CTTCCTGTTCAAAGGGAGTTTTTCCTCTCCACTGTCGCTACAAGCATGCTTAGTGTGAGTCAATATCTACTGTTTCTACCTGCAGAATCAGTGACTGCAGTCACTATGATGACGATGCAGTCAGACGGTGCAGTCAGACGATGCAGTCAGACGGTGCAGTCAGACGATGCAGTCAGACGATGCAGTCAGACGGTGCAGCATACTGTGCAGACAGACGATGCAGTCAGACGGTGCAGCAGACAGGGCGGACAGACAGGCAGCAGACGGTGCAGCATACTGTGCAGTCAGACGATGCAGTCAGACGATGCAGTCAGACGGTGCAGTCAGACGGTGCAGTCAGACGGTGCAGTCAGACGGTGCAGTCAGACGATGCAGTCAGACGGTGCAGCATACTGTGCAGTCAGACGGTGCAGCAGACAGGGCGGACAGACAGGCAGCAGACGGTGCAGCAGACGGTGCAGACAGAGGAGACAGAGAACTAAACTGTCATCAAAGTTTTCTGTGGAACGTCTCTGAGGAGTCTGGCTGCAGCGTCATGGTCAGCTGACCTGTTACCGCTCCAGTTGCATTCAGGTGACCCTCTGTCTGCGCTGTCCTCCATGTTTGTTGTAATTGTTTTGATTCCCACGCTGTCGGTGCAGAGTGACATCATCATCATGTCTATCGGGTCGCTCGGCTGTTCAGACCTTATTCAGATTCCAACAGATTCGACCAGAATCGGATGCAGATGTGACCCGGATGGGATTGGAAAAGTCGGATTCCTGTTCAGTAACGATGGGATTATTCCGCAGTGTGAACGCAGCCTGTAATCCAGAGAGGAAAAAAATAAGCAGATTGTTGTTTAGATCAAATAATGCTGATTCTAAGCTTGAATATTTAGATGTTTGTCTGCAGGATTTCATTGTTTTTATGGCTGCAAAACTTGAGGTCTATTTCACCCCACTTAACGGTTACTGTTGTGGAATAATATATTTAAAAATAATGTAGCTGCATGGATTGCATCAGCAGTGTTGGTTGATTGTTCCAATGTTTTCTTTAGACGGGGACTGGAAATCCTGTTTATGAGAACTTCTACAGACAGGTAAGATGAGCAGCCGGTCAGAATAACATCAGCAGCCTGCAGACTCCATCAGTTCACTGCCTGTTTTTCCAGGTGGATCCTGACAACACCGGCAGGGTAGGACCGACAGAAGCAGCCCTGTTTCTCAAAAAGTCTGCACTTCCTGACAGCACCTTGGGAAAGGTAAGCTGCATGTCCTCTGATGTGGCGTCGTCCCTCCATGGGTCATTGGTGTCTCCAGCCGAGCAGAGATGAAGCCTGAGCCCAGTGGCCTGAAGCCTCTCTGATGTTTCCTGATCTCCAGCTGGGTTAGTTGTTGGCCTCATGGCTGGATGATGATGATGATGATGATGATGGAGGCAGAGGTCAGACTCTCCACAGCAGACTGATAGAACATCTGCAGCATCTGAAGGACCTCAGCTTCCTCTAGAAGTCCATAAATGTTCCAGTTCCTCGGTATTAGTTTCATCCTCAACGTTCCTTTATCATAGTCTTCATCATAGTCTTCATCATAACCTTCATCATAGTCTTCATCATAGTCTTCATCATAACCTTCATCATAGTCTTCATCATAACCTTCATCATAGTCTTCATCATAGTCTTCATCAT